TAGTAGCTTCTTGTTAAAAGGTGAAAGTTCTTTGAGGAGCTCTGAGTCTGGGGGCGGCAACGTTGACCTACAAGGTGTGCCTGGATTAACTCCGGAGACCAACGGGTCAGGTGACTTTCAAAGGGCCTCTGGTGACCTAAAGGCTTGTTGCTCAGCGTTGGTCGTTGAAAACCACCTCCAGTTGGGCGGTAAAAGGACCTGTGACTTAAGCTGCACCCCCAGCAAACTCGTGCGTTGAAAAAAACATTGGAAGGCCAAAGAGTGGCAAAAGCACGCTGCTGCTGGCCCTTTAATCTCCCTAGAACCCAGACATGACCTTTCGAAAAAGGCCCTATAAAGGTGATATTTTGGAGAGTTGATCATCCAAAACCGGAGATTACACAGCTCCAAAAGGTCTAGCCCGACCACCCGCTGCCGCCACATCGTCAGCTGATCGTCAGCTGCCCGCATCACAACAAGAATGAATCGCAGCCTCTTTCCAGGAGAGGCCCATGTGGTTCACAAAGACCTTCTTGACATCAGCGCAGCTGTTCTGCGGCAAGCTCGCGACATGCAGGAACTCGAAGCAACATGCAGGAACTCGAAAGGTGGATCCCCGAAGAAAAAGGAAAAGATGTGTGAAAAAGCAGGTTCCGACCGAAGACACCTGCCATTGAACTTAAAACAGTGCAAAAAAATCGGTGGCAAACGCAAGTGCAATGTCCCGAAATCAAGCAATGTCCTACCCCTAGAATTCCTGAAAACCCTCCACGGAAAACAGACCTTCCTGAGCAGAGGGTCTCAGATTCTAGTATTAGCTAGAAGCTAGTAGCAAGGAGCAAGGGCTACTAGCTACTAGGAACAAGTGCATCACTACCAGCAAGAAGCTACCAGGAGTCACAAAGGAGTGGTATTTAGTCCCATCCAGTGAGTGGAGTAGCTGGGCACCCCCAACCTCCATGGATCGCACCCCGTCGAACGTGACTGCTACTATGTGCACTGGCCGGGTTCGCCTCCGGATTTGGCAGCCTTCCAACTGCCCATGAGCACCTTTTCAGGGTCGTACGGCCGTACCTGCACGCGCGACCCGGACGCTAGGGTAGCGTCACCCGGGAACGGCGCAATGCCAGGGTTGTCCCTGATGATATGTCAACCCCCATGTGTGAAGAGGTCTTACAATCCAAAGGTTGGGGCGGTTCGTCAGGGTCTACATTGATGAAACCAAATGAAACCATCCCCAGATCTTCACCTGAGACCCAAATGGTCCCCCAACGACCCAGCAGTTCCACCATGGGATCGGAAAAACGAAAGCCGTCCGCGTCTGCCGGAAACCATGGTAAAATGATGCCAAGTTGGCCACATGTTGCAATTCAAGGACCCCCCCCAAGGACCCCCACGTCGCGTTGACGTCACATGGCCCTTCGTCCAAAGTGGCCAAACTGAACGAATTGGACGGATGGCCTCACGGATGACTTCGTGACGGTCCACCGGTTCCACGGCAAATCGAAGGCACTTCCGCGTAGCACAACGGCGGGAGGTGATGCGTTGCTTCAAAGGGACCGGAAGACGCTCTTCAAGTCGAAGGGCTTTCGCGTTGGATACTTTTTCAGCACCTCCCTCAGATGAGGTCAGGTCATGAGGTCTCTCTTCTTTTCCCGTCAGGTCAAGTTTGTTGGTCGAAAATCAAAGAACTCGGCCGGGAACGGATGCCGCGTTTGCATCAGTTCGTCCCAAAAATCTCGTTGTTCTAAACAATCCCAGTCTTCCATCTAAGAGGCTCTCGCGTGGATTTGATGACCGCATTCGCTGCCATCACCACAAAGTCAGCCAGTGAGACCTTCTCACAGAAGTCGACCTACCTGACGCCATCCGACGGTCCCACTACCGGCCAAGGCCTCGCTTGCGCCTGGACCGCCGAGCCAGGCAAACGTTGGGTCAAAAGGTTGACTCGGTGTGTATTCGACTTCGGCAAGGCCGCAAAAAGACTCCCAACGCCACAAAAACTGGACACGAAACTGGAAGGTCTCTCTCCTTTTTGGTGGGAAAACCGTCCAAGTGGCGCATCTGCAATGGAAACACCATGATCGGCACCCTGATACATGCAATCGGCCAAGCCAGCATTGTCCGGGTCCTTCAGGCGCTTGGCGCAGACTTGGCGCGCGATGCGCTCAGACGTCACACAGTCCCCGTCCCCTCCTATTGGACAGTCGAAAGAAACCCCTAAGCGCTTTCAGAATTGCTGATGGACAACTGGTCTAGTTCCATTTCAGTTTCTTCGACTCGACTCGAACATGCGTGCAAACATCTCTCTTTGGGCACCCAAGCATCCCAAAGCTCTGTCCCCCCAACAAACGGTTTCCGAAGACTCACCCAGCTTGACACGGGCACAGCCTGCCCCCTTGGCACCTCGGATGAGCTGTGCCGGTGGCAGCCCCCTCGCCCACCCCTCGCTGCAGCCGTGCTTCGCTCAGATCCAGGCAACCATCCGAGCCCCCGCGGCCATCCTGATCAAGCGAGGTCTAGATCGGATTCATTAACCCCCCCACAGGTCTACAAGGTCTAGAAGGTCTACCTAAACCCTCCTGTCGGGGTGTCCTGGCTGGACTACCCCACACTACCTATAGGCTTCCAAACAGGGCACCCCGACAGGAGGGTCCTGGTAGAAGGTACCATGACCCCCCCACAAACCACTGGCTACCCTGGAACACTGGTAGATCGAGGCTCTCCTGACATGGCATTCAGGCGTTCGGGCGTTCGGGCGTTCGTTGGACCCCGCAGGGTCGAGACAGGACCTCAGGAGACCGGGGAGGATGGCGAAAAAATCCCTATATAGATCCACGATGACCCACGAATGCACCCTGGTGGCAGTGGACCCTCCAAAAATGTGGACAATTTAGTGATATATATATATATATATGAGTGTCCTTGCTCACTTTCTCAGAGGGTATTTGGATATCATAGGGTATGGCTTGGGTCTATGAGTCTATTCTATTACCAAAGCCCAGTGGATGATGGTTCAGTTGCAGGCCTTGTTCAATCATGATAGACCAGTTCCCTGACTGTTACAGGTCAGGTTCGACAGACCCCAACGGTCAACCCTTTTCCAGCCTTTTTGACGTAGTCCATGAAATCGTGCCCAGCAATGCGCAGCACGCAGCCCGCCCAGTCGGCCTCAGACAGCGAGCTCGTCTCGACCCCAGCGGCGAGTTGAGGCTGAGCTCTGCGCCTGAGGGCAAACGTCTCCATCGCATTTCTTGGACAAGCCATTGTAGAGGCCCTGATCCCGGTCCAAAGAACGCGAGCGACGAAACGATCTTGGCTTCAACAAAAATGTGACTCACCGTCCAATAAAACAAAATAAAGACATCCATCATTGAAAAGAAAAAATAACTAAAAGGGCGGCAAAAAAAGAAACATAAAGAAAACAGCGGTCAATGCAGTCAGCTTTCGGCGCAACGACCCATCCTGTACTTTGGCAATCACTGCATCATAATCACTCGAAAGCATTTGTCTGGTCGTCAACGCTTGTTCGCCTGCGAAACGAGAACGGTACGCGCTCGAAGGGTCTTGTGTTCCAAAAACCACGGCGGGTTGTAGTTACGTAAGTTGGGTAGGAGGACCTCGGAACACCAAGGAAACCTAGACGCATGCCGGAGCAAAGGCGAGGCGGCAGACCGAAGACATCGATTTCGCCTGCCTGGGCAAGTCATCATTTCATAGGGAAATACATCTCCTCCTTAGGAAGCAGAAAGAATTGGATGACTTTCTGAACTCGGACCGATGCAGATTTCGTAGACAGTTCTCTCAAAGCAACAGCTGGTTGCTCTCGAGATGTGCAGTCGAAGCATCTTGCGAGCAATGCGGGTAGCGCTCGCAGAGTTTCGTTCGGCGTGCCCCGGAAGTGAGTGGCTTCCTAGTCCAGTCATGAAAGGCTGCCATTTGTCGTAAAGTACCCCTCTACCTTCCAGTTCGCTTTTGGCGCAGTAAACACTCTCACTCAGCAGTTGTTACACATGTAAACACCCTGCACTGCAGCATGTCGTACAGCTTGCCACCCGAGCCCGAGCCTTCGAAGCCTGTAGCAAACTATTTTGATCTTCCTCACAAACTTCCTCACTCAGCGCGAGGCTGAACCTCAGTCCGCCAGGTTGATGGAGGGAAGGCGAAGACAAAATCTGAAGAACTTTCTCAAAAGATGCCTCTTCAACACCTAAAGGACAAGGATGAAAAAAGATCCTCTAAATCTACACGACAAGATGAACACGGCACATGGAAGCGGATGGCAAGAGGCACACTAGGAAGACTACTTTCCTTTACGGACAAGGGGACCATCCACTTCCATGTTAGAGAGTCAGAGTGTAGATGTAAATCTCCTGATGTCCTTGATCCTGAAACCCTCGATCGAAGGGTGTTCATTCCTTTTCACTCCTTCGCCAAGGCACAAAAGGGCTCTAAAAATCAATGGAGTCATCTGGCCGGGTGGTTTTCGAGCCAGGGCTGCGTGAAATCGCCTTTCGGGAGTCAGGCAGCAACCGCGAGTCTTTCGGTGAAAATGAAAGTTGGCAACTTCTCGAATGATTGACCCAGCACCACGGGAGGGCAGGTCTTTTCCGGGCAGCGGGAGTATGTATCGGACACCAGCGAGTCGGTCGGTTTATTCGTCGACGCCGCCCACTGGGACCAGGGGTCAGTCCCGAGACCGGGGCACCACCGATTGCAACGAGAAAAACCAACGAAGCAAAGCAACCCGAATCGGTCACCGGACAAAACCCACACCTCAAAGAGGCGAATTAAGCTCAATCCAAAGGAAGCCCGAAAGAGGTGAAGCCCTACGCCAAACCCAAAGGAAGCCCCAAAGAAGTGAAGCCCTAAACCAAGCCCAAAAAGAACCTCCGGAAGTGAAACCCTAAGCCAAACCGAAAGGAAACCCTATAAAGAAGTGAAGCCCAACCCCAAGACACAAACGCTAAGCCCTGTTGCGGGGTAGCTGGTCGTTGATTCGTGGTCGCTCATCCGAGGTCTGACCAGTCGCTGATTCGGATCACTGGTCGCTGATTCGGAGTTTCTATGTACTTTCCATGGTGCTGGTCTGGGGGTTGTTCTTTGGGTGGCGAAAATCATCTTGAGTGCCTCGTTTTTGGGCGGCACAGCAGGGAAGCGCAAGCTACAAAAGTACTGAACCCTTCAAGTGGTTCCCCCTGTCAGAAATCAACATGAAGTGCATTTCCCTCAGGAGGCTTCCGGGTCCATGCTTGTGGCCGGCCATACTCCAAGGCTCATGCGGTGTGATCGCACTGAAAAACATTGAGATTTGTAGCCTGGGCTGAACCATCGACTGATGTGATTGGAAAAAAGTGAAAAATCCAGCAGCACAAGGCTCACAAGGTCAAAACCTGAGCTATGCACGGGATGGCTGTCTGTCCTCTAAACCTGGGTGTTCATGGAGAGGTTCATGGGTTCATCGCATCCATTCGCGAAATGCGCTTTTCATGCGCTTTTCACGTTCGGTCTGAGGCCTCCACTCATATCCATCAGCCTGAAGCTACATCCACACACCCACACCAGCTCGTTCGACCACCAAGACCCCAAAACAATCCATTCCAGCCCCGACCGGACAAAACAGCAGCAGTTGACCGTGTCCCTGTTCCACACCCGACTGGCCCCACCAAGACCACGACGCGGCCGGTCTCGTCGCAAGAGGCACGGCGCTGCCGCGCGCCGACGCACGGCACCGCCGCTTCGGCACGGCGCCGCCTCCGAGGAGAAGATTTTCGCCACGGCGTGCGCCGTCGAGGCCACCTTGGGCGGTTCCACGGTTGGGCGGTGGTGCGCGGTGTTGCGGCACGGTGGCGGTCAAGTGCTGGTTGGATGCTGGTTTGGGAGGAAAACGAGTGAAAGAGAGGCAAAATGTCTGGAAGAAATCGAGGAGAACCGGCCGGCTGAGTGAGTCAGAGGGTGTGTGTGTGTGTGTCACCCCCTGTATCTAAGGGTTCCACCTCTGTAACTAAGAGTTTTGAATGCAGGGGGATCAGGCTTCCAGTTGCTAACCTGATCCAACGAAGCTGGGTCACTGGAAGGGAAATGGTTGAGGACGCTCAACCATGTACCTGCATCATGATACACCTCCAATTTTTGCCGCTGTTCTTTGCTTTCATGGTCGTTCCGCATGATACCTCCCATAAACAGGTTTTCCCACAGCCACCTTTCAGCTGCCGTCCGCCGCTCGTCCGCTGCTGTCGCGAGTCTGCAGATGTGCACAAACTATTTGTTGAAACACCTTCAATTGATCGGACTCATCACCTTGCCGTTGAGTCATTCCTTTCCTTGGGGAACTGAGTTAACTGAATACAATTGTCAGAGTGTGTTTCGCTCAGCCGTCCCACTCGGGTGCTGAGTGTGATCCCCGTCATTGGGGCGCTGTCTCATCGTGCAAGCACTAACTGACCTCACCACCTTTCACAGGAACTCCACTGGAAGTCACCTCCACATCCACCGAATTAACTGCCACCACGGCCGCCGGGCCTAAACACGGGAACTGACAGTGTTTGTGCAACGGCTAAGCATTCACATGTGCATGTGCTGCTAAGTACTCACAGGCCGGACGAATTAATCGTGCATTTTTCCCCTCCCTACCCCTGGGCCTCCGTTGCTACCCCACCCGCTACTCGGGAAACAGAAGGAAATCGCACTCAACACACTTGTGTGTTGGTGCCTTTCCTTCTGTTTCTCCTAGCCTATTGCTAGCTACCCGGGCGGTTTAAGACAAATGTCCCGCTCGCGCTCTACTTTCATTTAACTAAGTGGGCCTCGTAA